GAGGGTGTTTGCATCAGATTCATCATTCGCTATCAGGTAATTGTGAAATTGCTGTAAGCCATAGCAACCCTCGCCCCCTCCCTCATCCTCCATTCCAGTTCCTTTCCTTTAAAGTCTCTGGGGTCATGACCCACCTGGAGGACAGAGATGTGGTATCTGGTGTACTGAATGATCTGATTATATTTTTACTAGCAGAGCCTCCAATTCAATGTGCAGTTCTACCCTAAAGAACTATTGGGTAACAATCCACTTTCCAGAGGTTACTTTTTCTTGGTATGTGAAGGACCACAGTCACCTATTTTTCTAACTAAAAGTGGGTCGTTTTTACTGTACTTACACACTGCAAGTCTTGTGGAGCTGTAAAGAAGCTGGGCTCTAGTTCTTCTTGAACATCCAGTGTCATGTCTCTGCACAGATCTTTTGAAACCTGGATGACAGCATAGGACAAGATTATTTGATTGAATTGACAAGACTGACTCGTAGGTTCAGCTTCTGAGGTTGAAAGTCATCAGAATTTCCCTGGGTCCTTCACAGCACAGTAAAGCGATGCGGTGCTAAAATCAATCATCTTTGAAATTTTGCTTTATATTACTTCCATTTTGGTCTCCCTTTACGGAAGCTCACAGCAATTGTAGATTTGTTTTCCATAATGAATGCCCATATTTAGTTTTTTTATTAAAAACATTAACACTTCTTTGCTTGTGGTGAGGATAGTGGAATTTCATGATTGCCATGTTCATGTCTCTTCGTAAGGACCCAGACTGAGACATGAGGGCTGCCTTCCAGCTCTTTTGTTAAGGCAGCTCTCAAACTCCAGCAAATCTCACAGTTAATCCTCCAGTTCAGTGGTGGACTACTGCAAAGACTTGAAGTAGGCTTAGGAAATCTGCTTTGAAGCATAGCAGCAGTGGAGATGTGTAGGGTAGTAATCATGATGCCTTAGTTTCTGGATCTTTGCAGGGCAGTACCCTGAGAGTGATAAGAGCCTGAAGGTGCAGGTGATCTGAATGTTCGCCTCTTATTTCACATTTTGCTGCAGATTTCATTTTGAAATTACGCAATTTTAATTGTGTCTTCTAGTCTGTCTATAGTAAATTTTAAGGATATGAAATAAAAATTGTCTGAGTAGAGTGGCAAAGTTGGTGAGGTAAAGAGGGGAAGCCTGGAGAGTGGCTGTTGTCAAACTGATCCTTCTTCCTTGGGGGGATCGGTGGGAGAATGTATAGCAGTAAATCTTACTATACATATATACTCTGCATAATGCACATATTAACATCCTGCAGAGTCCAATCCAAAACAGAGCTCAAAAGGTTGCTAAGTAGGCAACTTACAAATTACACAAGCATCCCAGTGGTGCAGGTAACAGGAAGGGTGAGGGTTGGAATACAGATGTGCAAATTGCTCGTCGCTGGGATTCTAACCAGCTCTATGCTGAGCTAGCTGCAATTAGTGCACACATAGATGTGGAAAAAATTATGTACCCCCAAACCAAACCTCCTGCCCATCAGAAATCTCTCTGCACCCAGACAGGCTCGGGCATCATGTGGTGCAGTATGGCTGGGTACGGGACAGTGCATGTGAGCCTGAGCACTGATGTGTCAGTGGTGACAGGAGGAAAACAGGCGTGTGAGACTGGGGAGGAGCTCTTGAGTCAAGTCCAGCTCCGTTTTCCTCAGGCACTGTGCCAGATAGTTCCAGCTGCACTCAGCCTGGGACTGTCTTTCCCACGTGCCCCTGAGCCCACTGACCCTACATCAGATGTGCTGAATTTTAGGGAAAACTTGTCTTAATTTCACTCTAGAAAGTAACGGGTTTTTCTGGTTTTGTTTTATTTTTACCAAATGGCCTCATATAGGAATGTAGGCTAGACATATTATTTTGACAACTTATTAAAATAATGAGCATTAATTTAATTACATTAAATCATTGGGTTTGGTCACATTTAAATGCAGATGTAGCAGGTACATGTCTTGATAACAGAAATGTTTTTTTCCCCTGTTTTTTTCCTTCCCTTCAAATTCCACTAATTTATTTTTCCTCCAGACTTTTTGCTGCCTCCTCAACCCCCCTCCACACCCATGAGCACATTTCAAGCACATTTTGCTCTACCCCCTCCTCCGGTGCCCTCACTGCTTCCCATTTACACTGGGAGGTGGAAAACAAAGTGCTTCCTGATTGCACCAGGCACTTAGGCCTAGAATCAAAAGCAGGAACACTAAGGCATTAATACCTCACATTGGTGCCCCTGGCTTTTGGGCAGGGTGAATCAGGATGTCACAACCCAAACCAGCCAGCAGCTCACTGTCGGAGGGTCTCGCCAGCTCCTCTCCCCTGCAGAGGGAGAACGTCCTCCTCTCCCCTCCCCCCACCTCCAGCTCCCTTGTGCTCCAAATGAGGCCCAGCTGCCCTAATGGCCTCGGGCGCTGTTAGGAAATCAGCTGCCCAGTGCTGGCTCTCTGGTGCTGGTCTCTGGGGCTCCAGCTGCCCTCCCCGCAGCCCAGCAGGACCCCTGGCCACTCTGCCCTCTGGTACCTCTGCCTGCCCCATCTTGCACAAGCACATCCCCAACAAGCCTTCCTCATGCTCGGCTTCCATGCTGCAGAGACAAGTCCTCTCACCAGCTGCAGTTCTTAGGTGTTTATTTGGTGTTTCCAGAGGCAATCTTGTTTTCTTTTGGTGAGACAGAAATGTCCTCCGGTAATATTAACCAACCCTCTCAGATAAATCCGTGACGTTCACCATCCATAGGCAAGTCTCTTTGTAGATTCCAGGGAGACAAATTAAATAGGCTTGACTCAGCAGCATTTTTGCTGCGTGCATCCTATATTTTCTTAATAGTTTCCCATCAAAATGAAAATAGTTGGCATAGATTGTATACAAGCTGTAGACTGTAGAAAATGAGGAGGATGAGCAGACTTCAGGCAGATGATGTGCTGTGGAAATTGCAAATTTTTTGATTCTTAAAGATTGATTCATTTTTATTATGGTATTTTAACTAAAGTCTTTTCATTTTAATACATTCCTGAAATCCTACCTTGAGCACATTGTATCTGATGTAAAATTCCACAGCACAGAAATGAAATGTTATGGTATGCAATTTAATGATATAATAGTTTGTCATGATTTCACTGACATTTATGGAATCATCACTGATTTCAGTAAAACCAGGCTTTCAGCCACTTACCTGTTTTTCATCAATTCTTTATTCAAAGTCACCTGACAGGATTTAGTGTACTGCAACCTTAATCCTGCTTCAGCATAACTTTTTCCCTAACTCACTTTTAATTGTGTGTTTGTACACACTCCCTGACATTTCCAAATCTAATGAAGACTTACGGAATTGAAAAAGAGTATCTACCTGTCTTATGTATTTTATTGCGTAATACCTGAATGCATAATGTTAAGAAATTGTGTTTATATTGTCTCTGGTTGGGGTAGGGAAGTGCTGTTGCCTCAAAAGTCTGAAGTCAGGGATGTGGAATTATTTTCCCAAAGTTGCGTAAAGTCTCTGACTGAGCAGGGAACTCAGCCTCTCCCAGGCTGGAGGTAATTAGATGAGCTTCATGCCTATGTATTCCAGTAGCATAGTAATGTTTAGATCTTAGGTATTTGTCTATACCAGCAGATCTCAAATGCTGCTGTAAGTGGCTGCCATCATTATTGTCCTTTTACAGGTGACCCTGAGGACCTTGAGCAACACAGTGATAAAGCAGGAGTGGAATTGTAGGTTTTCTAAATGCCAACTTATCTTCTTGGCCAAGGTCTCTTCCTGGTTGTAGGGCTAGGTGACATCTAGTGAAGGGAAGTACAAAGATAACGTTATAAGGTTTTGTACTTTTCTATCTATTGATTTAACTGGGGAAAAGTTGTCTTCTGTTGAAATAAAATTCTCTGAAAATGCAGCCTTATATTCAGAATATTGGAAAATGTTAGATTGCTGTTTATTTGGAGAAAATGTCATGCAGTGTAATGATCCAGCAAAGTAGAAAATTTCATGTTTCAGTGAGCCTCCCTCAGCTCATTGTAAAATCTTTCATGGCCATGCTGCTACTCAATGTTTGCATTTGTGGGTCTGCATCCTAATGCTGGGGGCACAAATATAGCAGGCTGTGGGTTGTATAATATCACCCAAGGAGAAGTAATGATCTACAGGTCTGTTTGTGCTTGAATATTTCATGAAGTTCAAAAATTCATAATTGATATAAACATAAATCTTACTTGTCAAAGCAGATATTTAAATAATTGTTATCACTACACTAGTACAAAGCATAATTTAAAATAAAAACATTTCACAGCATTTGCTGTGTATGGTTTCGATGTTATTTATTTATCTTTTTTTTTACTTACGTCTTTTGTTTTAAGAGTATGATTAGATCATTTGAATTGTATGGATCAGACTACATGTAAATCATAGAGTTACACTGAAGACAAGAGGTGAAGATGCTGAAAAGACAGAGGACTGACCTTCCAAGTAATTTCAGTTGATATTATCAAGAGCAAAAATTGAATGTGTTTGATGTCTGTATGTATTGCTTCTCTGCAAATCATAGCATACTAACAAGTAAAATAATGTAAACACACTGTTAGACAACTAGGGAGGAAGCCAAACTTGATGTTTTAAATTTTCTGTGTTATGCACCTTCTATAGTCTACTCTGAAAATGCTAAAAAAAGACAATGATAATGATTTTATCTACCCTCCATTAAATTCTATGCCAGGGAGGTTCTTGAGGCTGTTGAGAGGCCATGTATGCAGAAGACACAAAGCAGTGTGTTGGAAATGTGCTAAAAGCTATTATTGAAACAAGAGGACACAGTCTACTAGATTGAGAGAGAAATGTGAACATGTAGTACTAGTTACAGGTGTTATTTTCATAGTATACTTTCTTACTTATATCACTGTCATGATGGACGTGAATATGACCTCACTCTTCATTTGTAGATATGTACTTATGAACTTTCCCATCCCCTTATCAGCTGTTTTCTTTGTGTTTTTAGATCATGGGGAATTCATATGCAGGGCAACTAAAATCTGCCCGTTTTGAAGAAGCTCTTCATAACTCCATAGAAGCTTCTCTGAGATGTAGCAGTGTTGTCCCACGGCCGATCTTCTCACAGCTCTACCTGGATCCTGACCAGCCTCCTTTCTTGCCGGAAGGTAACCATGAAAGTATGGCACATTTCAATTATTGTTTTTTCTGTGTGAGAAAAGGGTGGGATATGTTTCATTAAAAAAACAGAAAGCTGTACAGCAGTTCATTGTGTGACACAAAATCTGAATCTTAGGCATCATTAAGGAGAAAGCATGGCATGCTGATTATTTTAAAAGGAGATAGATGCAAGTACTGTTGAAAAGTTTGTTTCATTTTTTATTCTTGCTCAGATGTGAAGCCAAAGGTAGAGGAGTTGGATAAGGAGTTAGTACATCGCTATTCACAAAATGGAAGCCTGGACTTTTCTAACAACCAAACTGTTAATGAAATGGAAGATGAAGAGGAGGATGAAGACATGTCAGATTCAAGTAGTCCACCAATCCCGTATTCACAAAAACCTGCCCCGGAAGGGTCTTGCACTACTGATGGTTCGTGTCCATTCTTTTCACTGTGTAATCTTTACAACTAATTTTCAGTATAATGTGTAGTCTCTACTGTTAGAAACTCTTGACCTGATAAGTCTGGAAATATAGTTTATAGTCAAAGCCTTAAATCTGAGAAAATATAGATTAAGAGGACTTGTTTCAGGACATAAAATGTAATATATTATTTCAAAGCAGTGTCTAAGACTGTGCCACTTTGTTAGTTTCTGAAAGCCCCTTATTATCTGTGGTTATCATTGGTTTATTGTCCTCAAACTTAAGTCAGCATCAGTGTGGCTGTTTCTCAGTCTATCCCTAAATTATTCTCAGAAACATTGGCAAAGCTGTATTTAGTTGCTTCCATGGGCAGAAGGAAGAGGTTGGAGAGAGACAATGGAGAAGAGACTCAGTGTTCCTTCTGCTGCCAAGGGGATAAGAGGGATGGTAGTGGAAGGCTCTCTTTTGTCTTCCCCACTGGCCTGCTGGCTGTTGTTTCCTTACTCTGAACTTTCCTGATTGTTGTTCAAGATGAGCAAAATTGTGGACAGTAGTATTTTTGTTTGGTTTTAAGTGTATTAAAGAAAGGGTTGATCATTATGCATGTACCTATATGGACCAAGTAAACTTGATGTAATTGGTTCATCTTATCCCATAATTGTTCTGTTCTGAAGATTTAACTTCCTTAAAGAAGGAAGATCTATTCATATTTATTAGATGTGATTCTCTTAAAAACATCCCCCTGCCCCCCTCAAACTCTTGAAAACAAACAGTGTTTCCCACCAGGACCAAAAGCCCTTCTTGACATTTTATTCATCTTCCTCATGGGCTTGCTCATGCAGAGTTCATTAAAAGTTTCAGTTTGTAGAATGGCTTTGTACCTTTCTGTAGTGTATGCTTATATGTGATGATAGAAGTAAGCACTAGTGACTGGTAACCCTTTGAAATTTTTTTGGAGACCATTTGTTGCAAATGTTGACATTTTTGCTAGTACCCATTCTGAATGCATGAGCACATTTACCCTCTGTAACACATAGAAAGGCTGGCTACTATGGGAAGCTGGGCAATATTGTTGGGAGAATTATTCACACAGAAGTGTGTTTGCTGTCCTTTAGAGGGTTGTAAATTGGTAGGAGCAGAGAATGAGAAAGTATAAAGTGATATATTCCTAGGAAGGTATTCTCAATTGAAGACAAGTATCATTAAGGCTGCAAAATCTCCTGTGGACAACATGAACGTTTCTGATCACTTCTTTTAAAGAAATGTAAAATAAATGGGTCTGGATGCAGAGGAGAACCAACATGATGTCAAGAGAAAGGAGTTCTAACAAGGCTCTTTGCCAGCCAGGACAAAAACTGAGAAGAACTATGCTTACACCTTCTAAGTATATCAAGGATAAAACACTAAGGAGGAAGAAGAGCTAGTCATGCCAACAGGGCCCTGCAGAAGTGTAATGGATTCATAAAATGGTTGTGAATGCATTCAGGTTGAAGGTTTAGAGTTCTTTAACGATTGGTGACACAGTTCTGGACCAGTCTGCTGGTAGTGGGAGCAGGGCTCAAAACCTGTCTGGCTTCAAGGCCACCATGCATTCAGTTGCTAAAGAGATTTTATATGACATCAAGAGATCTTTCTCGGTCTCACCCACACATTCTGTGATCCTTGGTTGTGCTTGCGTGCCCAGACAAAAAATGTTAGTTGTGAGTTTCCAGATAAAGGTCTGTGTCTTTACTTGAGAGGTGACCATTCATCCATGTGCAAACTATTCCATGTTTGCCAGTGCCTTTGCCACCCCTGCTCAGGATTGCTTCGTAAGGATGCCCTGCCCGACGTGGCACCACAAGGAAGTGCTCCGCTGCCAAGCGCTCACTGCAATGCAGATATCTATGCTGTGGCTGCATATTGCATCTCACAAGGTTATGCCTAGTTATGGTATAGTTACATAACATATCTGTAACTATATGCTCATGTATATATGTAATATTATGCTTTTTAGTGTGTCGTGGAAAAAGGCGACGTTCCAGGGGCAGGGGCAGTTCTGTGTTTTGATTTTTATCTAGAAGTCTTTTGTGATCAGAGCACCCTAGAAGAAAGTTTCCTGTGTTTCACCTGCAGAGTTTTAGGATTGTTCATCAGTCTTTGTCAAATTTACCATTTTGAATTTACAAAATCTGTCTTGCTCCTCAGTGTTGTTCTTGAGCTGATTTAAGAGAGCAGTGGGTTTGGATCTAGAAAAAGAAAGGAAAATACATTTTTAAAAATACTACTAATAATCTGTTAGGACAGTTTTAAGTAAGTGTTTAAAACACTCAGGTTTCAAATCATTCACACTGCAGACCATATGTCAGCAAGATATTAATCTGATAGCTCATCTTTCATCTCATTAATAAACCCTTCCAGAGATGGGATCACTGCCATTGTTTACATCCCTTATCTTAGTTATTTAATTACAAAGATAAATAACATTAGGAAAATGTTAAGGAATACTGACTGTAATGATTGAAGTCATGGTAAGTGTTTGGATGCTTTAAACTAAGCATGTATTTAATTGCTTATCCAAGAGCAAAATATTGGTACTAGAACCTGCAGTTCATAGCTCTGCATGCTGTAAAACTTGTCTCCCACCTTTTAGCACAGATGGGGCGAAACCTTTTTCCCTTTTTAGGTATTTATGCTCTTTGCTTTTCCTGAATTCAGGATTTATGCTGTATCCATTGTATTATTTTCTGCGGTGACTTGTTCTGTTATTCAGATGACTGAGTTGTCAGTCACATGGATGCAGAAAGTAGATCTCACTGCCTTTATTCGTTGGTAAAAAAAAATAAGTGCCTCACAAGTGACAGTTACTGAATGTTCTTTCTCAGCTGGCCATAATATTAGATCCCTTAACTCTCCTATTAGCCTGCTGGAAAGAGCAACTGCATTTGTCATTGATAATCACTATTAGCCATAAAAGTAAGAACTTTTTAATCAAAAAGAATAATGGTATTTGATGGATTCACTTATTTTCAGGAGCTTCTTTTTCTGCTAGGCATGAACTGTTATAACCAGCTTACACCTTCTATGAAGAACGTTTCAAGAAAAATACCTCTTCTTTTTCCTACAGGTACCTTAAAGGTGCAACAAGAAGCTGTTCTGAACTACTTGTTTGCTGTAGCTGTAAAAGAGGCTATTTCTAATTTGTGTAATAGCATTTTATGCAAGCTGTGGGAAACACAATAGTAGCACCTTTCTTTTGTTAGTAAATCCTCAATTTACCTGACGCTCAAAGAAGGGCCAAAGTAGTTTCAGAGGCAATTAGGTAAGCAGGTACTTAACACCTGATCAGTTACTGTGAAGTTAACAATAGCAAGTGACAGTGACTGGTAATTCATATGTAATTCTTGGAAGCTAATTCTTTATGCAAATACCCCATTTACTGCAGTACAACAAGGGGCTGGTACCCCACCTTGGGATTGCTTCTTGTTGCTGGTGTGGAAAGGGAAAATCTATACAAAATTCATTTTTAAGAAGATTCCAGTCCTTCTAGGTGTTGACAGCTGTGAGGATACATTTTCATTTTCAGGAAGATGGGACTGGACTAACTTAAGTGAAGTGATGTTGGAGAATGCAAATGTGCCTCTCAGAAGCAAAAGCTAATGAATTTTCTTTCAAAGAAATGCAGATAATCTCTGTAAAAGCTATTCATTATTCTTTTTTGTGACTGCTCTTGGTATTTGCAAATCTCTAATCAGAATACAAATGCCTGTTCTTTATTTAAAACAAAGCTGAGAGCCTGTGGGAAGATGATTTTTTTTTTAAATGGAACAGCTCAACTGTGTGGTTTTACTTTTTATAGTTACACATCGATAAACAATTTCATAAAGAGAAGCTGGTTTGTTTTAGTGGCTCGGGGGTTTTCTCTTCTTCAGACTTAGATGTCTGTAAAAGGTACACAGGTAAGTGTGACACTGAAGTGCCGTTCTTTTTTCTTAAGAGTTGTATGTGTTAGTGCTGCTTGACATAGAAATTTAGGTGCAAACTCATTTGTAAGTTAATAACTGTGAAATGTAAATGGATTTTGCGTGTTCTAAATCTTAAACATGGGCAGCACAAGTTCTGCTTGTACAGAGACATCATGTCTTGTCTTTCCTAATGTGGAAATGGTTATCTCTCACAGATAATTAAATATCAATTGAAAACAATGCAAAACAGACATAAAATAGGTTGGGTTCTCAGTGTTGCTTGCTATTGGGAAAAATGCAATTTTATATATATAAATAAATAGAACAGAGAAAGGGGTTAATCCCTCCTTCCTCTCCCTACAGTCAGTTACTTGCTTCCAAATTAATGTTTCTTACATGGAATTTTCTCGTTCAGTTTAAAAAAGCAGCAGGAACTTAAAAATAGAAGAGTGGTTTGCAGCCCCAAAAGCCAAGGGAAGAAGTATAGTGAAGGGCCCTTGAAGTTCATCTGCTTGTCTTTGAAGGAAAATTCAAGACTTGTATTGCACAGAAGCAGATTTGCATTCTCTCCCTATCTCCTGGTGTAAGTGAGCCCCAGCTGTACCTGGCCAAGCTCCACAGCCCTCCCTGGCTCTCTTGTTGCAGCTGTTGAGTAAATGAGGGAAGAGACCCCAGAGGCTCTGACGATCTGTCTGTGCTGCCCCTCTTGCTGCTCACCCACTGGGATCCCTCTGCCCCCTGCAGAAGGGGAGCCAGAGGAAACTGCTTTTAGCGTCAGCCCTGTTACTTGTCTCGCTCCCTCAGAAAATGAGGTTTTGGCAATTGCCTGTGAGCTCTGCTCCCTGTCTGTCAGGAAGCTGGTAGCTGCTTTCTGCCGCTCTTGGCAGAGAGGTAGAGATCCTGAAGGTACTGAATTTCAGCAAGATTTGTGAAGCTCAGTAGCTGTTGAATGACATTGGTGTCCCAAAACTGGTGTCCCCTGGGGCAGAGAAGTAATTATAGCTCTCCCCTTGCACAGCTTGAACATTAAAGAGGCACACGCTGGCCAGCCAGTCTGCACATACATACCTCTGATCCAGAGACGTCACCAACCAAAGCAGAGGAAGATGCCGAAGGAGATTGTGCAAGGAGGAAGAAGGGAGACATGGAAGGGATCTGAGAGCACTTTGGGTGAAGTGAGACAATACAGGGGCTAAATCTTAGGTATTGTTTGCAGATTAGGCAGGATGTGGCATTTTTACAGTACAGTCCTACGTATCCTAAATGGCAGGAGATATTAAATATATTCAGATGAACAGTCTCTCTGGTAAGAGGCTGCTGTTGCCTGTGATAGCAGACTGGGATACATCAGTTTGTTTCAGTCGGTACTACTAAGATGTTACTGAGTAATGCTTATAAACTTGTTGAGATGGTGTGATGGGTTTCTTAGGATTTACTGGGGACTCATGCAGAGTGGTGATGTGCAGCTGCTCAAAGTGTAGCTGAAGTTGTTTTGCTCCTAGCCTGGATGATAGCAGAGTCTTTGCTTTTGTCTTGGATGTTGTGGAGTGTTGGAACATTGCTTCACCTCACTGGGACATCAAAACTCTCAAGCATCCAAAGAGGCTTTGAGTTTCTCAAATATTATTGAGAATATTTAGGCCTCTCAATGCCATGTGCTCTTTCTGAAAGCAAGTCTATATTGAAATATAACTGTTAACAACACTGACGATCAAAATCCTGCTTTCTTTGGTGTTCTAGTGTTGTTATTGCTAACAATTCATGCAAGAGCCTCTTTTTAGTCACTGTGCTTCTGGGCATTTCCTGAAATTTTTTAGATAAAGGCAAAGCTAAAGAGTAATTGTGTAAAAGCACAGGTTTAAATCTGTCTTGAAATGTTACAGCACTTGCTGTTTCATAATCCTTATCTACACATTTCCTGTTTGCCCACATTGTCAGCAGTGGTTAATTTTTCTATTTTAAATCTAGATGTAGGGTGGTATTTTTAAAGTATGTCAGCTACTCAGGTTTCACTGAATGCCTGAATATTTAAGGCTAATGCTGAAAATTCTGGACATAATACCCAAATGGCATAAACACTGAATAAGCAAATTCTATTTTGAATGTAAGGGAGTTTCGTTCCTAGATTTATCTGCAACTGTTTCTTTCTAAATTCCATTGGAAAGTCTAGATAATACTTAGCCTGGTACCTAAACATCCATATGATTAGGATCCATATGCTTTTAAGGAATACACCTTAAAAAGAGTTTAACATGCTAAAAACAAATTGCATCTAACTAGAAAATAATAAGTTTTGCTTTAAATGTGCACTGTTAATGCTTTTCCCATAAAACATATGTAGCTTCTTATTGGTAAATTATTGTTATAATCCATTGATTTGTACATAAAAACTTTAGGCACTTCATTTGAATTCATTGTCTGTAGAAGGCGTGTGTGAGGGCTGAGTCTGAGCTAGCTTTCAGCTTGAATGAGCTGCTGCTGGAACTGAGCTGGTTGAATAACTGAAGAAACTACTCAGCCAAGAATGGGTGTAGGCACAAGACTGAACCTGTATTGGACCCTGTTTTCAGCAAGCTACTGCTTGCCAGGAAGTTCATGCTAGCTGACTCGATGCATTCCACTTTGCGCATGCTCTTTGCCTGGTACAGATGCGAGCTAAAACCAAAAAACAACTTTAGCTTTCACCATCTTTGCTGAAATGTTGAACTACGGCACAGTAGGTGAGAGTGCAGACACATAATGGTTGAGGTGACACTTGGTTTAGCTGTGATCACATTGTTCCCATATGCTTAGTCAGTGTCTTTCTCCAGTGGTTTGATTTTTACTTACAATTTCTGTAAGAACTATGGGCTACTTGAATAATATTTTAAATTAAGTGTAGGTGGTATACATTGATAACTGAAGTCTTACTGGATATTATAGTAATTTCAAATTTAGTTTCATATGTTTGGTTTTAACAATAATATTAAAACAGTACATATTATTTTTATTTTCCTTATTTTGAAATATTGACACAGATGCATGCCCGTCTTGACTATGTTGTGATATTTTTATGGTTGTAGTGAAAGAGAGATGGTCAGTGGATTAATTTGTGATGTCTTTGGACATCCTGAAATAGAAGGCCAGACTGTAGCACTGATCTTGCAGCTGGACAAGTGAGAATTGTAAGGGAACACAATATAAGAGTCTTGTTCTTCATAAAACCTGGTAGTGCTTTTATTGACTTCTGTCGAAGGGAAATGGGTAAGCCTCATGTGATCGTATCTTTTCCTGTGGAGGAAGCCACATGACTTGCTTTCTCTCACACCTGTCATTTCCTTGCTTGAAAGTAGAAATTACTCAATAAAAATTATATGTTGGAGCTCTACAAAAAAATGATGGGTGATTTTGATCCCTTTAAGTAGCAGTGCTGAAGCTAATGGAAGAGTCTTTGAATGTTGTTGTTAATTTACAGTCAAAGTAATCTAACTTTGAAGTTGGCTTTGGTTTGAGACAAAGATTGGACCAGCTGGACCTCCACAGGTCCCGTAATTGGTCTGAGCTGTCCCACCCAACCATTCAAAAGTCCCTACCGTGGCTGCTTGGTGGGTGGCTGCCAAGCCCACCCCGAATCCTGAACTCCCAAGGGCCCTGTTCCCATGCCTGGCACAGCTTGGGGCTGCCCTGCCATGCCTTTTGCCTGCCATCTGCGCACCTCAGGACATGGAACAGCAGAAGTTGCTCCAGTCCCCAGTTTTGCCCACTTCTGCCACTGGCTATAGCCCTGCATTGACCAGTAGTACAAGAACCAACATTATGTTCTAATTTTGTGCACATATATGTATTTGAGTGGGGAAAAAAACCCAACTGGAGACTTGAAGTCATGCAGTCCACTGGGACCTCAAGAGACTCCACTGGAGACTTACCAGAAACATGGTGTACATCTCTAAAACCAGTGAATTAATCTACTTGCTGAAATTCCTAACATGTACAGACAAGTTAAAAATTAAATTTAAATATTTTGCCTTTATTAGTCCGTACTAAACTTCAGTCATCAATTTTTATTATTCCTTTGTATTACTTAGTGGTATTTATGTACCAATGCCAGCCTGTTACAAGCAGCAAAATTGGTTCTCTTGAAAACACTGTAAACTAAAATTTGGCAAAGAAAAAATATTCTTTGGCATGTTTTAAGAACTGTTTTCTGTTAAAATCACAAACTTTCTTCTTATTTTGAATATTTTTGAAAATTTTAGTTTCTGAGCCATTTGATGTCTATCTAGTCTTTAGAGACATATGTCTCTTCTCTGTCTGAATGTGTTCAGGATCTCTTTAAAATAATGTTTATTGTCTCTGAAAACCTGAGCTAGTTGATCTGATGAGATGCTATCTCCATTTCCTCTATTTCCCTTGAAAAGGATATATTAAAACCCCCAGTTACAGCATCCAGTTGTGAAGCCCCATTTGCTTTTGTAACTGATAAAAAGAAGAAAATTAAATGAAATCTTTCAAAGATTTATCATTTGTTTTGGTTTGTTTTTTAGGTTTTTGTCAAGCAGGCAAGGATTTACGGTTAGTATCTCTGTGCATGGAGCAAATTGATATCCCAGCAGGCTTCCTCTTAGTAGGAGCCAAATCTCCCAACCTTCCTGAGCACATTCTAGTCTGCGCTGTTGACAAGCGGTTTTTGCCAGATGATCATGGAAAAAATGCACTTTTAGGTAAGAGATTTATTTTTTTCCTTGTGCCATAATAATTCAGAGAAACAGGTCCATTCAAAATGATCAGCTAATGACCTCCTACTAGAAATATGTTGAGGAGAGGCTCGTTTTATTTAAATTAAATCCGTAGCTGAACCTGCCTTAAAAGCCCATTTTAAAAAGTCTCTGATTCCACAATTAACCACAACCAAATCTCGGTGATTTCTGTGTGGGCAGAAGTCAGTTGCAGCCCCAGCATTCTAAATGTCAGCTATCCACATACTCTTTTATCTCTACTGATGGTTACAGCTTTTCATTTAAGAAGAAATACGCTCATACAACCGTAGGAGATGAGCTATCTTATTTTTCTGTGGATTAAGGGACAAATTCTGACCTTGGCTCCACCAGGAACATTGTTCTCAATAGGAGCTCTGAGGGCAGTTTGCTTCTCAAAATCTAATACATAGGGGAAACATTTATGTCATAATTGGTTACATGTATGACCTTTAAAATTTTAATACAAGAATGTTTCTTGGTGATTGAAGACAGACATGTGCACCTAGATTTCCTGCCTGGCTCACAACTGGTACACATTTTAACAGGCTAGTAAAAGTGATTTAAGGTATTTTAGCTCCTTTGGCCTGTTTTGAATTTACTCTCTCATTTCTCCCTCCAGTCATTGTGCTGCCTAGAATATATTCAGAAAGACCTTTCAACAGGGAAGAAATTACAATAAAGTATAAATACCCTGATTTAACCGCACTGTTCAAATTCTGGTCCAGACCAGCAATATTTTGCATAAGTATTGAAAACACCCTGTTTTGTACTTACGTGCTTTAATGTTACTTCTCCCTTAAACCCATTTAATATGCTACTACACACTGTAAACCTTTGGACCTAAGACAGAAATCCCCCTGGCTTGAATTAGATGGGAGAGGTGGTGTGACATGCCCTTGCTGGGTATGGTTGGGGTTGTGGAGTACTCTGGTGTATACTGCCATCCTCAGAGGAGCTGCTCCCCCACTGAGCAGGAGAAGCGTCAAAAGTTGATCAGTAAGAACTATCTGATAGATAGATGGTGTTTAGTCTGATTAAATGCGTTACTGCTTGTCTTTGTTGGTAAGCCTTCCTCCTCCTCCAGCTTTGTATCCATCTGTCATCTCTGATATCGTTTGATAATGAGCCTAGTGACTCACAACTTTGCTCTGGCATTGCTGATCTTACATATTTAAGTGCTTCTAGGCCTGTGTAGCTGGTACCTACAAGCAAAGAATTGACTCAGTAGGTCTGTGAGACCCTGATGACTGTTTCTGACAACTATGGAGATGCACCAAGAGTTCCTTTGGGTTGCAAGGGACAAAGGGAGGACGGGTTCAGTCCCAGGACAAAGAGGATGAAGAAATCTACTTGTTGGCATCCTCAACAATGTGATGGTAAAAGATGATAATGAGGCACAGTAGGGCTAAAGACAATGGCCTAATTAATAACAGTTTTATGGAAAATGCATTTTGTCAAAATGACTGAATATCTTTTTCATAAAACTATAAATTGGGCTGACAGGTGAGTGTAGGAACCAGTGTTCTCTCAGGGTTTCCATTGTGGAAAATAATAATAGTAGTGAGGATGAAAAGTTGGTTCTGTTACAGATTTTGAACTGATTAGTAAATGGAAAAAGCCCCCAAAATAAAGCATTTCTACTAGGTATTAATCTGCCCAACACTATTATAAATCATTATTGGTGTTCCAGAAAGCATATAAGATATTTCTTCATTAAGGGTTGAAAGCGATTCAGAGATGAGTGGAGTGGCAAGTAAGCCAGAGAGATGTAATTGTTCAGCATTAGATGATGGAGGGCCTATTCAAACAACAAGGATTTTAAGGCAGGCCCATTTCAGAACATGCCCTATGCTTTGTCCTGGGAGAAGTTAGACTGGTGCCATCTATATGCAACATTCCCATTAACATAGTTGTGAAGGGCACTGGAAATCAAGGGTGCTTATAATCCTCAGTCTGGACCCTGTCTTCCAGATCTCAACTCAAAATTTCACTCCCTTCTGTGAAACCGTTTTGGAAACATTGCAGAAAAGCAGTCTTCTGCCTTTGTTCCTAAATATGTTACTTTTGCGGGAGGTTGTAGATTTTTTAAAACATTCTGAAACACTCCTAACCTTTGCCATGAAGATCTTGACATCAAATGGTCGCTTTTAAGACTTTAATAAGCCGTAACGTCCAGCTTACTTGAAAATGCCTTGTATAAGGAGTCTCAGAGAAAATTTGTTAGATATTAAGGTTAATTTTAGTTACATGAAGTGGCAGTGGCTGCTATGGATTAGCCACTGTTTTGAGAGAGAGATGCTTGCAGTTTAAAACCCATTTTTTTTTAATGTAGAAAAAATTTTTGTTTGTTTTTCCCCTTATGGAAATTTCCTAGCCTGGCATTATAGCTTTCCCCCTGCCAAATACTTATTCTTTTCTGCACCCTGTAGACTGGAAAATTGATGGTAAGATTTTGGCCTAAGTTAGTATAGCCTAGAAAGATGGCAGAGTTTTGGAAAAGCTAAGATTAAAATCTGCCCGTGTTTGGCTGCTTCCTGACACGTGTGCTGAGAAAGGTGTCTGCAGAAGCTGTCTGTCTGGAGGCCTCCAGTCTGCAGCCAGGTAGGTTGCAGTGGCCTTATTCCTAGGAGATAGCATAAGTCATTTAATCTGTATATATATCTTCTGCTTCATTCTTCCAGGATTTTCTGGGAATTGTATAGGCTGTGGAGAAAGAGGATTTCGGTACTTCACAGAGTTTTCCAATCATATCAACCTGAAATTAACCACTCAGCCAAAGAAGCAGAAGCACTTAAAGTACTACCTAGTAAGGAGCTCCCAAGGTGTACTGTCAAAGGGACCCCTTATTTGCTGGAAAGGTAATAAAGGTGCCCATCCACTTAGGGGTTTTTTATTATATTAGTGTGATGTTGAATGAAAAATTGAAAGTTGCTGTTGAAAATGTATGCATTCAAAAGGAACTGTAGAAGTTTACTGTCTTTACTGCTTGAAGGAAAAATACCTACTGATTGCACTGAAGTCTGTATTTTGCCAAAGAGGTTTATCTAAGTCTTAATAATAACCATGCAATCGTAAATGGTCTTCCTCCATCCCCTTGTACTTGCAGCGGGAGCCCTAAATCTGCCCTTCTTAGGATGTGCAGCCATCATGGTAGAAGAAATGAGGTTGCTCAGGCTGCTGATTTTTTTCTGAGCCTCAAGCAAGATGACTCACAGCCAGGGCTCCAACTCTGGCTTTCCATTGATATTCATCTTAGCAGGTGCAATTCAATCTGTCTAATGCCTGAGGATAGCTAGCACACCATAGATTAAGAAAGCTCAGGTCACTGATCTCAGGGAAAGA